GAAACATTAATCAATAATCTGATGTGCAATTACAGCAAAATGTAATGTTGACTGTGCGTTCTATGATTTTGTGATTTCTATGTTGTAAAGCACTTTGAAATGCCTTGTTGCTGAAAGGTGTTATATAAATAAAATTTAATTGATTGATTTACAGTTGATTGATTTAAAAATCAAAATTACTTTCTTGATAACAAGAAGAAGTTTTATGTTTTTGTAAATCATATAAATTCAAAGTTAAAGATAATTAACACTATGTAATGATTTTTTTTTAAATCATAAACCTTTATACACAGTGTCTTGAAATTTCCTTTAATGCTTTAACATAGAACTGCTACAGGTTCTGAATGAAAAGTTTCAGACCTGCTTTCTGGAAAAGACTCAAAATCTGTCCTAGTGTCTGAATCTGAACTCCTGACATGTAACTGGAAGGTGACAGATCACCTCATTTAATAAAAACTGGTGCAAAGACATAATTACAGGTTTAAATATGATTTACAAAACCAGATGCAAACTGTCATGACTTCAGCCTTTCTGCTCCACCTTCTGCGCTGATTGCTCATTTCTCTCACCTGCACTGTGCTGCTCCCTATTTATACAGCTGCTTTTCACCAGCTCAGTGTGAGATCGTCTGTTGCTCTAGTCACAGCTTTCAAGCCATTGTTTCAAAGAGTCTTCTGGTTTTCTGATCCTGCCTGTCCTTGACCACAGATTCTGCCTTGTCCCTCGGCTGCTGAAAGTTTTCTGACCTCCTGTTGAAGAACCCTGCCTCCTGTTTGCCGTTTGCTGGATTTCTTTGCCTGTGGCTCTACCGTGCATGACCCCGGATCGTCTCTCTACTCTGTCTCTGGTTGGTGATTTTGCCCCTGTCATCCCGTTTGTTCCCTGAGCCCCCAAGACTTTTCGTAGTCCATTCTTCCTACTTAGTCCCACCCCGGCTGGATCCCTGTCCCCTGTGCATTCCTCCTCCCTTTTCCGCTTGTCTTATCCACCCTGTTCAGCCCCGTCTAACTATTATTTTGTCATAGAACATCTGGTGAAACTTACTCCTGTGTTGTGTGTGTTTTGGGTTCTGGCTGAGTTTGCTTTATCGTTACAGCAAACAGGTTAATACCAGAGTCCATGAATATCGTCACCTCTGTTACACACCTTGTTCATGTGAGCCTGGTACATTACAAAACATACTCGTTTTATCAATAATACTGGCCAAATATGTGAAATATTAAGACATAAAAGATAGTAAAATAGATAACAAATATCCTCCTCCAATGCCAATTCTGAGCAGCAGGACAATCTAATAATTCCAGCTCATCGTCAAGTTATGGAGCAGCAAATATATGATAAAATGCTGCTTACAGTATTTTATCTAATAAATGTTATCACTTACAGCCGGGGATGAGTCTATTGTTTAATAAAAGACACTAAAGAATCAGATCATCTGATTATCTGCAAAAAGAGCAGAAGAGGGAAATAAACGTGATAAAAATGTAAGCAGGGAGAAATTTGCTTACATGAGTCAAGGGGACTTCAGGGGCGTAAGCGTCACTTGTATCCGGGTAAAACAGTGTTAGAGAGGTTTGATAACGAAAGTGAAAGTAAATTGAGTTGATGTAGTCAGATCGACTTTAACTTGATTTTCTTCTGTTCAGGTGATTCAGAATCAAGAAAAAAGTATCAAACGCAAATTACTTGTATGGTTTCAATATAACCCCCTCTCTCTAGTTCAATATGAATGCATTAACATGTAAATTAAAAATTGTTTTGCTATTGTTCTGCGTTTCACTTTTCCTTTATTTGTTTTCAACTACTGCCTTTGTTTTAATGTCATTTGGCACTTTATACATGTTAATATCGGTACCCAAAATGCCCAAATAACAAAAAATATGTTTGCATTTTTTAAATAAATTAATGTTTGACATGTTTCAAAATATTATTTAGTATTAATACCAACTAAAATAATAATAATAATTATTGATGATGAACAGAGAAAAAAGAAGTAGCTTGTGGGAAATTAAACAAATTGTTATCTTTGTTGATAAGTGAAAAGTTTTTTTATATATTTATGTTTTACTTTTTCCTAACTTAAACAAAATGCGACATAAATCTGAACGTCTGTTCTGTGTGGTTCCCGGCCCGGAGTCTTTCTGCTTGTTCTCCCTGTGCATGTGTGGGTTTTCTCCTGGTACTCTTCCCACACACAGACCAAATCATGATTATTCAATAAATTCTCCTTAGTGTGTGTGCATAGTTGTTTGACTCTGTCGTCCTGTGATGGACTGGCGAACCGTCCAGAATGACTTCGTCTCTCGCCAGTGACATCTGGAGAACTTTCACTAAGTATCAATAACTTTATTAATTAGAATAATCATTGCCTTTCTCACCAATGTCTTGTTGTAAAGTCCACAAATTGGCCCTATCTCCTCTCTAAATGTTCCTCACATTGATCTGTCCTGATCTTCCATTAAACATCATTTTATGTATTTACTTTGTGTTCTGGTCTTTCTGGACAAAGTTAATGTTGCACAGCTGAGTCTGAGTCTGTTTAACCTCTTGCTTTCTCATTCTGCTGGGGATTGTTTGGTTTTAATCCAATTTATTCAGTAAGAGCCGATTCATAATCAGCGTCATCTCAAGGCCCTTTACTACACAAAAATACACAATTTATATTGAAAAATATGTTGTTAATTTATTCAAACTGTACAGACAGAATAGTCAGAAACATTTCATTGCAGCTCCTCATTCTGAACAAGCATCTAGTGGCAGAGAAAATGTTTTGCATTGAGTCATTAATCAATTTCTCATACTGAGCATGTAGGTGGTGAGAAGAAAACCTGTAGAAACTGATCTAACGTTGGTTTATCTGCAGCAACCTGCAGCAGCCTTGAAGTAACAAAGTCATGGGTTAAATTTTCAGCATCACCCCTAGAGAGGATATTTCTAATTTTGACAATATTCCACAAATAGAAAAATAAAATCCTAGAAACTTGTCAAATACAGTATTTAAATAAAATGTCAAAGTTCTTTATTTTGAAATACTGCATACAGCATCCATGTGCTGTCTCCCAGCTTGAACTTTCGCCTAGGCTCCATATTATTCTTTTTTATGCAAACTAAAGCAGCAATAAAACAATAAAATAATAATGAAAAGTTATTAGCAATATAAGGAAAACAATGGATAATAGAGCTCCTTTTATCACAATGCTGCTGTTCTCCTGTTTACTCTTTCATCTTATTTTTACTCTCCTCTGCTTTACTTCTTAAACTGTTTAATTAGATTTAATTAGATGAATAGTGACAGAAATCATTAACATTTGATTTAATATTTAAACAAGAAGAAGTTATCAAAGCTGAACTGTGACTTCATCATCCTGGTTTGTAGATCTGCAAAGACATGAAAACAGCAAAAACATGAAAAAATTACTAAAATACTAAAATATACATTGAAAAGCATCAATATCAACTGTTTCTCTGTAAACAGTATATTAAAGTTTCATGGTGATCTGGATCAGCTGCAGCAGTTTAACTGGGTTTTTAATCAGACCTGTTGCAGTAATTAATGTGACTGAAGGTAGACGCCTGGATCTTGTCCTCTAATATTTATCCTCTAATCCTGGAAATGTTCTTCAGGTGACAGGAGGCGGTTCAGATCAGAGTCCTTAGCTAACCTCAGATTATCACTCAGACTGATTTTCATACAGTACATGTAACTTCTCCAATGTGTATAAAAATACTAGAGATATTAGTGGATACATTATTTAAAAACAGCAAAAATATTCATAAAAATAACAAAAAGATAATTACTGTAAGCAAAGCTGGACATGAGACACTTGTCTGTAAGTATTGATACCTTTTCAGGTAATTTTGTTTTATCAGTATTTATAAATGCTTGAATATAAGAAAAACTATAAAATATAAAATAGAACCACTTCAGATATAGAGACTTGATGTTTTTGTGACAAACTTCACATTTATAAATATTTTCTGATATATTTTCTGATATGGGCAACATGGGCAACTGCCCAAGGAGGCATTTTATGGGGGCGGCGTGAGCGCTCCTTAAAATAATAAATTGTTGAAGGTGGTAACACTGATCCTCATCTCTGTGCCGAAATGACAACCTGGAAAATAAGATCAACAATTAGAGACCAAACAAATGTTAGAAATTTGATTCATTTTCATAGCACTTTCAGAACAATCAAAGAATGTAAAATATTTTCTGAGTAAACGTAATGGTTTTATACTTTACTTTTATTATCAAAAATGTTTGGTTTCATTTGCCTGAATAATTATATAAGTGCATTCTGCGCTTATTTCACAAAATCTACATTTGTATTTTCTCTGAATCTCAGAGTAATTACTTTAGAAACATATATATTTTAATTCCCTTCTCACCCACCGCGGGTGGTTCTTATCCTCTGAGCTCGGGTCCTCTACCAGAGTCCTGGGAGCTTGAGGGTCCTGCAGTATCTTGGCTGTGCCAAGGACTGCACATTTCTGGACTGAGATGTCTGATGTTGTTCCTGGGATCTGTTGTAGCCACTGCTCCAGTTTGGGGGTTACTGCCCCGGGCCCCGATGACCACAGGCACCACTGTGGTCTTCACCTTCCAGGCCCTCCAGTTCTTCCCTGAGGCCCTGGTATTTCTCCAGTTTCTCCTTTTTCCTGATGTTGCAATCACTTGGTATTGCTACATCTACCACAACGGCTTTCCTCTGATGTTTATCCACTACGACAATCTGGTTGGTTCGCCATTACCATTCTGTCTGTCTGGATCTGGAAGTCCCACAGGATCTTAGCTCTGGCGTTCTCCACCACCTTTGGGGGTGTTCCCACTTTGATCTCGGGGTTTCCAGTCCATATTCTGCACAGATGTTTCTGTACACTATGCCTGCCACTTGGTTATGTCGTTCCATGTACGCTTTCCCTGCCAGTATCTTGCACCCTGCTGTGATGTGCTGGACTGTCTCAGGGGCCTCCTTGCACAACCTACACCTTGGGTCTTGTCTGGTGTGGTAGATCTGGGCCTCTATTGCTCTGGTGTTTAGGGCCTGTTCCTGGGCGGCCAGGATGAGGGCCTCTGTGCTGACCTTGAGTCCAGCTTTTTCCAGCCATTGGTAGGATTTACTGATATCAGCCACTTGGGTTATTTGCTGGTGGTACATCCCATGTAGGGGCTTGTCCTCCCATGATGGTATCTCTGGCACCTCAACCTCCGTTCCCTGTTGTCTGAGACATTCACTGAGCACATTGTCTGTTGAGGCTTTGTCCCTGATGTATTTATGGATCTTAGTTGTTTCGTCCTGGACAGTGGTTCTCACACTCACTAGTCCTCTGCCTCCGTCCTTGCGGCTCGTGTACAGTCTCAGGGTGCTGGATTTGGGATGGAACCCTCCAAGCATGGTTAGTAGCTTTCTAGTCTTAATATCTGTGGCTTTTATCCTCCTTTGGCCAGCTGATTATTCCAGCAGGGTATCTGATTACTGGCAGGGCATAGCTGTTTATCGCACGGATTTTGTTCTTGCCATTGAGCTGGCTTCTCAGGACTTGCCTTATTCGTTGGAGGTATTAGCTGTGGCTCCTTTCCTTGTGGCCTCATCAAGGTTGCCATTTGCTTGTGGTATACCTAGGTACTTGTAACTGTCCTCTATGTCTGCTATTGTTCCTTGTGGGAGTGAGACTCCTTCTGTGCGGATCACCTTCCCCCTCTTTGTGATCAGCCGACCACACTTCTCTAGTCCGAATGACATCCCAATGTCAGTGCTGTAGATCCTGGTGGTGTGGATCAGTGAGTCGATGTCTCGATGTACAGCTTGATGTCATCCATGTAGAGAAGGTGACTGATATGATTAAAATGACCTTTTTAAAGGTAATTTAAAATACATTGCTACTTTTCATTTAGCCCACAATTCTGTGCCATTTGTGTTATTGGTCAAATGTAATATTTGTTTTCATAACTCTAAGCATAAAACAATCATCATGATTAACAGAAATAAAGACTGTAATACATCAGTTTGTGAATAAATAATCTCCATTATGTGTTTTGGTAGTGAACTGGCTTAATGAAATAAATTATTTTCTCAATATTTACTTAATAGCACTGTATGGGTAGAAAATATTCTGTGAAGATTCACATTAAGTCATTTTGTAAAAATCATTATCTACTGAAGTTTTGAGCATAAATAAATAAAAATATTTTTAAACTCTAAAACTTGAAGACTTAAAATAACTGGCAAGATAAATTTTCAACATAAAAAGAATAATCTGTAATGATTGTTGTGTTAACAGATTCACAGTCTGTTTGTTCATTTATTACACCTCAGTAAATAATAATCAATTATCAGTGACAGATTTTAAACTCAGTCAATTAGACTTGGCACTTTCTTTTAACACTGTTAATGTTTGTTGCCCCTGTTTATTTTAATCAAGTATATTTGTATTTTTTCCACAATAAAAAATTATGCCAAAGTAATGGAAATATTGATTTTATTTTCTGTCAATACAGTGGCGGAGCTAGACTTTTTGCCATCAGGCACTCTGACTACCATGAGTTGGTAAAAGTGTCTTGCAAAATGAAATAACGACAAGAGAAAGACATCAGTATTGAAAACCCACAAGTTGCAGGACAAACTCCTGCCACCAAATTCAACCCTCCAGCAGGTTTATGTTGGTTTGAGACTGACTTGTTAAATCACATCATATCATTACAACTTAGCATAAAACCTAGCATTGCAGTTATTGGAAAAAAGGTTTTTATTATACTTTTATCTGTAGTTTTTCTAAGGCAAGTTGCTGTGTAGCAAGTTTCTTGGTCATTTATTAATTTACTTATACATGCATTAACTTTATGTAAAGAAACATTGTGAAGACTCGCAATAAGCTTTTTAATGTGTTCCTAAACTAATTGAAAAAAGATTGCAACAGTTGCAAAATAAGCGTACTTTAGAGCAGTGATAAGTGATATATTTGAGATCTATCAATTCCTTTATGACTTTCACAATAATTTCTGTACGCAACTTAAATATGTTTTGCTGTATTATTTCTACTCTCTCACCTTTATGGATAATCTTTAAGAGGCTTGAAGGAGAAATAAAATAGAGCAAACAAATAATAGTCCAATGACTGCAGGGAAACAAACACATTGAAACAAACATCACATCCAGATAAATTTCAACAAATGAAACAGCTGTACTAAATACATGACATCTGAAATAAGGCAATAATATTGATAAAAAGCAAATATGCACAATTTATACAAGAAAACTATGAGAAGCTAAAATAAAAATTTTCACCTTCCATAATAATGTCATCTGATGGACATGAGATGCTTCTGAATTTATCAATGAAAAATGTAAAGGAGCAATAACACAGCCTTGAATTATGTCTTTGCTGCCATATTTTAACTCAATCAATGAATTATTAACTCACTTTTTCAGGACTACTCTATGGTCACAGCTGTCAATATTCTGAAGATTCTTAAAATGTTGTAATTTTTTAAACAAGCATTAGTCTTTCCCAATGACAATTTTTGTTGCTCTTCTCACAGCTTACTATTAAAAGTTTATTTATTTTGCAACTCTTACCTTTTTATGGTATTATTTTTAATTGATCCAGCAAAATGTTATTTCTCTCACTGAAAAACAATCAGTTTTTTACTTTTTTCTAATTTTCAAAATAGCTGTTTGCTATATCAGTTGTTTTCCATTATTAGATCTAAATTTGGTTGCATATCGTTTTCCTTCCACCTCGCTCAAAGATATTCTAAATATTATTTCTAGTTATGTTTCTTCCATCATGTCCTTCTATGTGTTTCTCATTCACACTTCAGCCAATCTTTTCCAATTTTCACTTTATTGGGAAAACAGTCATTGCTGTCCACTCGCCTCTAAGCAAATAATGAGAATGCCAGACAATCTTGAAAAAGAGATTTCCAATCTGCAGGAAGCTTTTTAAAATCCGGTTAGATAAAGACTGATGATAATAATTAAAGTAGCATCCTACTTTTAGACTATGAACCTTTGTTATTTAACATAGTTAAACACTGGCACTGAAAATATGCATAGATGTCCACAAAATATCTAATATTTTGACAAATCATTTAATAAACACACTAGTGAATACTGAATGTGCCAGGCATCTTTACAAATAAATAAAAATAATAATGAAGAAATTAAACCAATGTATGACTTTTCTTTATACTATCATATTTGTAGACAATGTATAGGCATAAAGTTCCATTTTATCTTAAATGGAATAAGCATAGTGTAGTCACAAAAGCTGTCAGAAGGCATGCTCTGTGTTAAATTACAAACGACAAGGAAAACTGATTTATTGGGAAATTTAATGAAGGCAAAAGAAAACCTTAACATCACCATAGCATTGTTAAACAAATCCAAAAAGACATGATTTTAGCCCAATTCATATGGGTTTAAAGTCCATAGAACAGAAAAATTATTCTTTCAAAACAAAAGTGTAATAACAAATACAGTGCACAACAAAGACAAATCCCTAATTGAGGATAACAATTTGAAAAAGACATTAAATAAATGTTACTTAAAATCAATCATCTTAAAATTCCAGAAGACAGAAAAAACACACTTATAATATCTAAGAAAAAATCATCCAAGTATAATATGACCCAGAGTTTAGCTAAATCAAAATCCAATAGATTAAAAAAAAACACCAGCTTAATATCTACATCATGAAAAAATAGTTGAATCACTTATTCTTTATTATGATTTCTTGGTAATATTAGAGACCCACAGATTCTGTATCACTAGGTAAAAATCAGTTGAAAGGTGGAAGTACTGGCACAAATGCTCACCAGACCAAAACATTTTTCCAACACAGACATTGTGCTCAAAACAATTCTAGTGAATATTTCAAATCCATTTTGATAATTTTTTATGCCAACTTATCTATAGGCTGGTACCTATCTCTTGACAGTGAGTGAGAGGCAGAGTACAACCCGTATTTTTCTTCTTGTCTCTTTAATGTTTAGTATTCATGTAATTCAAAGGAAACTGATAACAGAAAAAAATGCCTTTATCAAAAGTGATGGAATGTTTCCAAAACACTTAAGATTTTTAGGGCATTTTTTCTATGAAAACTGTTGTGCTGGTTTTAGTTGGTTTGAGTGTAAATTTAAAGAAATTTTGTTTACGTCACATTAATGAGCTGTAAAATTTATTTTTCAGTTTTACAAATGTTCAATCCTTTTTCGAAATAATCCGTTTTACACAATGAATGTTGATTTATTAATTTCCAGTTTACAGAGAAGAGTCTGGTGTTGCTGCTCGTTGCTTCAGTGCAAATTTTATCCACCGACCTGAAGAGAAATAAGGATAAAATATTACACAAAATTAAAAACAAGTCATGTAGCTTCTTAAAAGAAGTGAAAAAAGATTTATTACATTGAAACAATGTTTTTTTTAATCCATTTTGTTCCAGAATTTGTTCCTGTGAAGCTAATATTACTTATCTGCATGTGAAGATTTCTGACATTTGTGTGGATTTTGCTTCATATGTTGTGATTTAAATTTATGCACATAACATCACCTTTAATTGTGAAGAAATTACAACTATTGAATATTCTTTTTTTAAGAACAATGCTCTGCCAGAAATGTAGAAAAAACCATTCACATATATAAAATGAGCACATGAAACAACTTACCGTAGTGCATAGCTTTCTATGCTTCATTACTTTTGGCATCATTTCTTTTTGAACCTCGTTGTCATCGATTGCTGTGAAATGACAAAGTACTAGTATATATTCTGTTTTAACTTACATAAAACACATTAATAACTAATCCTTTGCAGGATGCATTTTAAATTATGATCTACAAAAAGTACATTATTAAGTAAGTTTCACTTACGAGTTGGAGGGCGCTTGCCTGCTGTAAAAAGAAAACCATCTTTTCAGTTTGTAGTCATTAAATTTCCACATCCTCATACTGTAGTGTTTTTTTTTATTTTTACTCAAAACTTAACATGCAGAAATTAACTAGTTT